TTTATGAATCATTGACCTAAAAATAATATTCCAAGGTACAACAAGTAGAGTTCATATTGTGCACACCTCCGCCGTTCTTTCCAGACGTACATTTTGAATTGTTCGCTCACAAAGTACAGTTAGTCATCGGTTCATGATTGCGATATTTTTTCAAAGAGGGTGTCCAGCTCTTTACAATTGTTTACGCAGTGAAGGTAATTTTTGTCTATTATTTAGTGACCAACAACAAGAAAGCATGTTGTCTCACTTTCCAATCAAAAAATACCTCCTTATGTGAGTGCATTTCATTCCCATCTTTGTTATAGGACAATTGAAAATTGTCGGCATGTTTAATACGTTTCAATATTAAGTGCATTGCCTGGCTTGCTTAAGAAGAACTGAAATGATATCGAGTGTGATTCATTCAGATGAATATTATTACATTGATCGACTAGCAAACATTTTTNTTTTTATTTATACTTCAGAAATTTGTTGTTTAATCATTTTTCCGAACTAAATATTTTTAAGAACAGTATGTTAAGAGAGTTGACGATGTGCATTGCTTTTTGCATTCGATATAATCTTTGCTTAACATTCATTTTTTTAAAAATTCATTTGTTTATCAAACTGCATTCTCATCAATTCAGACACCTGCAATAATCGCATTGCTCCATGAGCACACTGCGCCACTTTCAGTTTTTTGCATTTACCATCTACTTAGTGGGTACTTAGGTTGCACAATGTATAAGTTCCTTCGTTCATTAAGTTCAAACCATTCAAATATGATTTCATTATTTGGCTGCACTTTCCCTAGCCTTTGATTCACAGTAGACGATAACCGACAATATTAGAGCCAATTGTTAACGTTTTGCGATAACGGTTATGATGCCTTTGTTACATTAACGTTAGTGCTGTTTGGTTATAGCATCGCTGTTATCAAAATTTTTCATTTTTGTTACCATTTTAATACCCCATCATTATCGTAAACAAATCCGATTTGAACATTCGCTGGTGTTTCCTTATCGTTTGTCTAGCACAATTAAAATGAAATAAATTTTAGGTGAATGAATCTTCTGTTGCAGTTTGATGGTAATCGACAGTGATATGGCATTTCGAGTTCATTTTTTTTCGATGGTCCAAAATTTTTTGAATTTGTCGTTTTTTTTTNTTTTTTTTTGCATAATTGGTGGTGACGTTTGAAAGAACTCCATAGTTGATGGTCCAAAATCCAGTATCAACTTTTTTTCCCATATCTCGATGGGAATTTATTGGAAATTGAACTCAAAAGCATATCGAATGTTTTAGGTGAAGATTTTAATCATCGAAATTCTGATCGTAAGTATCAACGCGCATAAGAAAATATGTATTCACTTCATTTTCTCTTCTTGAAATAACTTTGACTGTAGGGAGCATTCTTATTCAGGCTAAAATGAGGCGATAGAGTTGTTATGTAGATCACCAGGGATTACTTAGGACCACACACATACAACAAAATATTTTAAATTGGAATTTACCTACTGAGTTTTGTCACTCACTCTATTGTGCGATCTTTACAATAACATAGCAACTTTGAGCTTGTGCTTTTGAATGCACAAATAATGTGTAGTAATTGCATGATGTAACGAATATTTGTCAAGAAACTGTCGAATGTGAGCCGTATCTAATTATTTGCAGGAGACACTCGAATATCAATAATCAACTAAGATTCATCAACAATTGTAAATCCTTATCTTATCGTAAGCATAAATGATCCAATCGACAACGGACGAACCGGAATGTATCAGCAACAGCAGCAAGCAAACACAGAATCCTTTTGTGCCCATCTTCACCATCGGTAGTGTTTATTTGTTTGGGATGGATCCTTCACCCATGAAGCGCATTGAATATTGAAAGATATTGAAAGTCACACAAATATTATACACCGGTTTTTGAAAGGAAACAAATGTTATATAACGGTTCTTGACAGGAAATTATATGCGCTGCTTTATGACCAACGCAAATTGTTCATTAATATTTATCCAAAACTGTTAGCACTTCACTTTTACTGTATCATCAGGAAAAAAATTGATCGATATTTCCCAGCGATTCCATAAAGACGAAACGTCGAAAGTTTTGGAAAAAAATATTAATAAATAATTTGTGTTAGTTTTTTTATCTGTTAAAAAGAGCTATACCTATATCTTTATCAGTTATTCCATCCTATTCAATTATCATACTCATTATTTTTTCACAGAATGGAAGACAAATGAGTAATCGAAGTCGAGGATTACGTTGATACGTTAGGGACCGACTTAGTTCGTGCAGAGGTTGAAAGTGCACAACGATAGAGCATTTCTTATGAATTAGCATTCTCTCTACAAGTGACCTTTCGATGCTATATTCTTGACATATCATTTGCATTACTTAACTGAAGGCACGACAAACACTTTCACTTATTTCATTACTATATTATATAATAGTAACGTTATTTACTATTGACTGTCGCTATTATTATTGCTACTATTATTATGATTATTCTCAGGACTACTTTCATTATATCATGAACGCTCTCTGATCAATCATTGGCAGCAGCCATTATGAATATTCCTTCTCATAATATCATAAATTCTTTGCATACACAATCCTTATCAAGTGAACACTTTTCTGTAACTATAACTTAGTGCTTTCTAATCTTAATACTAATACTAATACTAATATTAACAATAACTATAGCCATAATAATAATAGTAATAATAATAATGACAAAGATAATAACAATAATCAGGACAATGACTAGATTAATCATCGTAAATAACTATTACGTTGAGCAACCTCGTAACGATTTTTGTGCCCTTAACCTGTAGATGATGCAACTTTTGTCATCATTGAATCGTTGCAGTATGAAGTGAATTGATGAAGTGTGTTCAAGAGAAGTATGAGCAATATTTACATAATGTTGCGTTTTGTCATCATTGAGTCGTTGCAATCTGATAACAATTATCAATTCTTCACAACTTTGCAGTAGATTTGACGTGATGGTTTCTTCTTGAAGCGTACTATGAACAATGGGTCTGTCAAACGATTCCAAATTTGACTCTCATCATCTATCTATTCGATACAATATTATAATGTGCAATTTTTTCTCATCACTCCAATCATCATCAACATCATCATCAAATAGATGATGATTAATAGAATGTGCAAACATAATACTAATTGTCCTGTATATTATTTCCATATAAACTTTTATTTTATTTATCTCATCCACTCATTTTTTAAAACCATTCTTTCATTAATCTCCTCCTCTGTTCTTCTGTTTTTTCTCCTTCCAACTAACTGTTACTGTTACTGCACAAATACACGAACAACTAACCATCGTACCAGCAAATGAACAGCGGCACTAGTGTCGTCTGAGGAGGCGTAACAACACTATGGCTGACGCTCAGCCTTAGCCTAGGCGTAGCCTCAGCCTCACGCTTAGACTGAGGCTGAGGCTAGGCTTAGGTTGAGTCTTAGGCTGAGGCTGAAGCTGAGGCTAAGTCTCAGCCATGGTACTGTTGTACGTGCGTACGCTCGCTGTTGTGCCCCCTCAAACGACACTTGTACCGGAACAGCTAACTGGCTCAATTGATAACAAAATAAGTAAAAGACAAACAAGCATATGGAATCAAGGATGGACTGAGTGAATAGATGAGTATATATGAGTAAAATGACTGAATGCATGCATAATAAGAATAGATTTAATGAAATGTTACAAATATTTTCCACATTTCACCAACAATGAGTTACGAACGCAACGAACAAATCAACAGGGTATATACTACCTAGTGCTTCCATTACATCATCTCCTATCATATTCAATTTCTGTATTATTCATTAGCACATTCCTTCGCATCAATCATTCCATTCGCGCTTTTCACCCATTTTCGTTGTATTTTACTTCCTTTTCGCTCTTATTCTTCACTGTTTTATTCGTCACTTCGTTGTAAAATACCTCCATTCTTTTGAATTTTCTAATTTTTTATAGTTCTTCCTTTTCTTCGTTTGCCACTCTCATATGTTTTTTTTTGCAAATTTATACCGATAATATGTAGATGTTCGCCAGTGCTCGGAACTCCCTTCTTTCAGCGCTATCGTCGGTCGATTCATTTGTGACTGACACACATTTTGTCTTCATCCATTCAACCCCTCATCATTACCTGCTTATCTGCTTGATGTAGAGCAAGACCGTGTGATTGTAGAAAATTACAATAATTGATCGCATTCAGTTAGCCATCAGTATTTTTCGTTTTGCACCGCTAAAAAATTTAATTTTCATCCAAAAACAAAGATGATGTTGATGATGAAAAAATTCCGTCCACTGAGCCATCATACTCAATCCAGCGCATACACTGCACAACGCTAATAGGTATGTTAGTATTGCTATACTCAATGTTAAACATACTACGTTTATCATCATTGATAATACATTATTGTTAATAATGCATTGTGATAGTTGTCATCGAGTCTTCAATAAACAATGACATACACTTTTCTGTATGTTCGCATCAAAAAGGTCACACGTTTGGGCATGTATTAGTGTACTCACACCTTGAAAGAGGTCACAATTCGAATCGTACCAAAAAATGGTGCAAACAAACAAATTTCTTCATTGCCAATTCCCCAACGAAATCATTCATTCACTTGATGAAAGTCGTCTGTATACTTGGTGTGCAATTACTTCTTTAATTCGTCTAAGATCTATCCTAACACTAAGTTGAAACGTCCATCAGCCATTAACTTCATATGATTTTTTCATGGTTAATATTTCCCAATTTTATTCGACATTTTTTTCAAAATTGAAACTTTGTGAGCAGTTATGTGAGCTCCTTAGCGAATTCATGAGCAACTTTATAAATTACATTCTCTTGTCAATTTCATTACGAGATATCAAAGGTTCAAAAATTATGCTGAATTTTATTGCTGCTATTCTTAGCATTTAATTGCATTTTCAATTTAAGCATAATTGACTTCATCCTCATAACATTTAAGGTATTGATCAGATGGAATTCCCGTTAGTGACTAATCGGATTGATGACACACACGATATTGATGCCATTCAGCAGGCACTCATTGAACCAGAAGATCAGCACCAACGCCAACAAAAACTTATCGAAGGGCAAACTGATGCGAGCAGGTGTAAGTTATTGTCATAAAGAAGTAACGGTAACTCTCACAAAATGATCATCCAGTATTTTCGATCAAAAATGAGTTCATTTTGTCATTACTTCAAAATGACGATGATAGTTTGTTCATTTAAAATTTTGAACAGCAATAGCGACACGACGGAAATGTTCATCGTTAGATTGTCGAAAATGGTTTATTAATATGGTCTCCTCTTTCAACTAAAAGCGGATGAGAAGAATAATGTCAGCATGAGAAAGATGATAATTTGAGTGATTTTGTAGCGCAATGTGGAACAGTTTCAAGTCGCGCTTATGCAAATAGCACCGACACGGAAGAGACAAATCACCAGATCAAGTCAAATCATGTATGCTGATTAGAATGTATTAATTTAGTTGCTTTTGATTGATGACTTTAACAAATCCACTCCGATAAGCTGTTACCATAGAGTTTTCGAAACTCATTATTCTGAAATGAGGTCAGCCGAATGACTCAGTATATATTGATTCATCCATAGATAGTGAGCTGAATGATAGCGAATGAAACGAAATTCATGAAGCAGCAATCCATTCAAATGTTTGCGCACTTATGTATTCGCACATTAACAAACGAATTGAATGACTAAAACGGTGTGCAATCGCTCGTCGCATTCTTTACGTTTCATTTGCCTAACTCTTTGCAAGCTGTTCGAATGACATTCCGTACACTTCATATCGTTATTGCATCATCTATAATAAATCACTAGCTACCATTATCAGTGTTATTATTAATAAAATTACCATTGCATTATAAACTATTTAGCAGCTACTAATTGAGTTGTATGATTTGGATTTACACGTGAACGAAGGTGAATGGTGCGAAACAGCTCGGTGGATCAAATATGAAGAAGTATATCATTTACTTTCTATCACATGATCGTTTATGCATCTTTTTCAGATTTCGGAATAAACGAATTTGTTTTATTTATTGTTGTTATTAGCATTATTACTATCCTATTCTCTTAAATATATCTTTTGAACAGAAAGCACTCCCTGCCCCACCGTTTCAGTCAACAGCCATCTCGTCGTTTATTGGTGTGCTTGAATATCGCCAATGATGTTTCCCATAATTACAGAATTACAGCAAATAATCGAACATTCAGGATGTGGAGGGCGTCGGTCATCATTGGGGTCAACCACATGTTGCATTTCTATCGTTCCATTCGTTGCTCCTGTTGAGGAGGTGTTTTTTGAAAGGTTCGAATATATTTGCAATGGGACACGCAAAAAATTTTCACAAATACACGAATTTGCATGACGTAGTAAGAAAAATAATAACACATTTGAAATAATACATATTTGTTGTGTAACTTTTGATGGAACAATCCATTTCGTTGTTCTATCAGATTTTCAACAGGAATGTCAGTTTTCTGTGCTATTCTCAAAAAAATTCCAGGAATTTTATTGCTTGATACGGACGCGAATTGTTTTGCTGAGATATGCGACCAAATCGGTTGTGCAATGATAACACAAGGCATTCAAAGTGGTTACATAAAGAATGCGTTACGAGTGCTACAATTAAAGCACCTGTATGGATTTCTTTTTTGCTTCTTTCAAATATTTACTACAACACGAACGTTACATGATGAACTTTTTCAACATCTGCTGATACTCAACGTATTTACGCACTGATCAAGACATTTCGGAGTTAACGCTAAAAAGCATGCATGTTTTTCGTTACTAAGATACCTATGGAAGTGATACTACTGTGTCAAGCAGAGTTGTAATAAAATTAACGGATTTGATCGATTCATGAAGAGTGTTTCCAAAATAATTTTTAGGCGTCCGCATCATTCAACTAATTTATCGCGAATCTCAACAGCCGCAAATGCGATTTTCGAACGACATTCGAACGCAGTTAAGCAGCACCTTACGTCGTCGTTATCGGCCACACCAATCTTCGAGAACTATTGGCGCTCAAAGAAGGGCGCTGCATCCACTGTTCATGCAAGTTAGTTTTGCATCGTCCTCCATTCATAGTTTCGCCCGTACTACTCTCTGTCTTGATTCAAACTCACTCTGCGGTCATCTTGATGAAGTTGATTATAATTAATATTCCTGTCACAGTTATCATAGTAATAATAATTACAGCCAAACTCACTTCTGTTAATCAAAATTTCCGTATAAACTGCAACCCAAAACTGCTATTTAAGTAGCAGTAAAACAACCAGATCCCATTCTGAATCAAAGGTATACGTTTCGGCAATTCTACGTCCTACTGGCACCATACCTCTAACTCGCTGCTACTGCTCACATTGCTATGCGGTTAGCCAATCATTGACGTGGGTGTGGTCTATTTCATGAGCCACATTCAATTCAATAACTGGTCAGTCGAAGGGCAACGTATAAGTTCGGTAAAATACGGTGTATATCTCACTAGCGGATGGGCTGTGTGTTCTTTTTGTAGTTTGAAGAATGGGAGGATTTTTTTGTTAGCTTGGAGCAAAGCAGTTTTTTAGGCTCTCGCGACATTCATTCTTCACTCCATTTGGATGAGGATATCGATGAGCATGAAGTGATAACAGAAGGAGAAGAACACGATTATGTGGGGAATCAACGAACAAACAATGCCGTCGAGAAGCCTCTTTTGAAGCAATCAAGGTTTGAGCCTGAAATTGATCGAAATCCCATCGCAATTCACCTTTTCAAACCGAAATCATGGTTTGTTGTGAGTGTTTATCGAAAGCGCTCATTCCTAGGAACACAATTCATTAATTTATTCATGAAAATTCCAGGGTTAAACTTCTCTCAACCGATAGATCATATTCAGATGGAAGAAGTTCACTGCCTCGTAAAGCAGCAATAATTGATGACTTAGAAAGCGCACAGGTATAATGCGGTTGATAATCTGTGTTCTTCTGCATCTTTCAGTTGATTTCGTTTCCGTTTCCATCAGTGTTATTCATAAGTGTTCCCGTGAACTTCTGAATCTATCTTAAGGTATTTGCTGGTATCGTTCCCCAACTGGATCGTCCGTGTTTCGTAATGATTCGTTTACGCAATGCAGTTGCAATGCCGGATTTGAATACAGCAGCCACTTTAGTACGTTTTATTTTTGTGATCCTAGGACCATCAATATCGGACGTCAGCTACTATGAAATGGGTAGATCGATCTCAACTCTGATTGCCGACAAAGTAGGTGCTAAAATTTCTTTTGATTTCCTTCCATTTTACGCATGAAATCATTGAACGATTTCTTCCCACTTTGTTGAATTTTAACTCATTTTTATTCCAATGTGCACAGGAAGAAACGATAAATTTGTGGAAGAAAAGGAGAAAATGATGTGCTCACAATGGGAGCAAATTACAAAAAGTGAGACTTGATGAAAAATGACGAAAATTTATTGTAAGATGATGTGAGGATGATAGCAGTACTAGTCTTACGAGCGAGAACTCAAATGATTTATCTCTGCACTGCTTGTAGAGTTTCAACAAAATTGTCTACGAAACAAACGATCGAAATGGTTTGATTGAGGGGATCGACGAATTTCTAAATGATTCCGTGGTGATACCACCTGGCGAAGTGGATAATAAACGATTGTTGTCTGGAGATGAAATCAAAAAAGCGTTGAGGAAACGAATTAAACGAAAAAATATGGAAAATGAACTTGGTACGGCATTAATTTATTATTCTAGGAACATGAAAAAAAGTTATTGTGAAATTAAAGAATTTATACCATTTCAGGGAAACAAACAAAAACAATGTATTTGGAGCTAAATCATATTCTCTAAATTCTTGATAAGTTGATCAAGTCCAATTTTTCCTCAATTTTTTTAGTACAACTGCAAAAAAACTCGTATTTTTCAATCCAATGAGAACGTCTTCAAACAATGTTTACTGCTCACTAACTGATTATACCGTTACTTTTTTCGAATGTTTTGTCGACACCTATCAAAAATAAAGAGATTCCAGTGGCAGCTCAGAAAGAACAGTTTACTCCAAAGAACGGTTATGGCCAAATAAGGACGAAAAATGACGGTAGTTCAGGCAGCAAATTGCCCTTCTTCAGTGGTATGGTGAACGACGTTTCGAAACGACTACCTTATTACTGGTTCATTTTAGAACCTTCGATTTTATCATTGATTCCAACAGATAATCAACAAACCATTTTTTGAAATTTTCTCCTGCTCAGTAGTTTCATTGTTTTAAACATTAAACAACGAGGTTAAGAAGAATCAGAATTCGCTAGAAATTCATAGCTTGGAATTTATCGAATCAGTTATTTTGATTGAATCATTGATCAATCATTGGCCACAACAGCAGTTACACTTCTTAACTCTTTGCTGAATGTTCTTCAACAACTTCAGGTCAGATTTCCGCGATGCCTTTCAATTTCAGTGCCTCACCAGCATTGTGTTCATGTTTTTGGCCAGCTTTGCTCCAGCTATCACGTTCGGTGGTCTTTTGGGTGAGTGTGCAAGCACAGAATTTCGTGAGAACGTGCGCAAACTCACTTGCTGTGCATTAAGCTTTGCTCATCGCATATGATCAACTTTTCATTCTTTTGTATCGCACACTGCAAAACTGTGATTACTCAGTCGCTATCGATCAACACTCATTTTTAAGGGAAATACACGAACGAGAAAATGGGTACAATGGAAACATTACTTGCTCAAAGCATATGCGGGATAATATGGGGTCTGTTTGCTGCTCAGCCATTGCTCATAATGAGTGCCACAGGACCTGTTCTCATTTTTGAAGCTAGTTTATATAAAGTAAGTGCTTTGTTTCTGTGATTCATATTTCGATGATTTTTCTCAAATATTGAGTTAGATATTCATTCGAAGCGAATGAACGGTGCTTTTGGCTATTCGTCGTAATTTCTACACTAAAAGCTTATTGCTGAAATGTACTGCAAAAGTTAAGGGACGTTACGATGAAATCAATTATATTTCAGCATGTACATTCATCTATCATTCATATATATGCTTACTATTTCAGTTTTGTGTCGGCCTTTCAGTTGATTTTATGACCGTTCGACTGTATGCTGGAATGTGGTTAATGGTGATCGCACTCGTCGTGGTCGCGTTGGACGGGTCTCGATTACTTGTTTATGTGACTCGTTTCACTGAGGAGATATTCGCATCACTCATTTCAGCGATATTCATCGCTGAAAGTCTTCATTTTGCTTATCAGGTTGTCTTCCATCATGAATTTCAAAAGAGTGCCAGTTTAATCGGTGATACCAACCCTTGACATATAACAGTTTATTTATACATTTTGATCATTCGCTCTCGAATTCGACACTGATGGTGAAATGGTCAAATAGTGATATGAAAAAACAGACCTAGAATATGGAAAGAATATTCGCCTCTATAAGTCATATAAGTCGTTTAATTTTACAGACATTTGTCGAGAATCCAGTTGAGGATTACAAGTATTATTATAATACGCATGCGCTTTGCGACGATAATCGGTCATTGTTGTTGATGGAGACCAATAGTACTATAAATAATTATTCGATGCAGAGTCTGACATCATCAGATGTGAATATTCCAAGAAGATCATGCAATGATGCTGAACCAAATACAGCACTTCTAACTGCTATTATACTGTTTTCAACATTCATTCTTGCCTACGCATTTCGACGACTTCGACAAAGCTTCTATTTGGGTCGAACGGTCAGTGAGCGAATCAATTGATCATTCGAGTATTTGTGATGTTCATTAGTTTTGTCCACTTCTTTTTCGATGTACTTCAGTTCAGTTAGCTAAACGTATATCCGTAGAATTCCTTTGGGAGGTTTTTTTCCAGATGGAGTGAGCTGCTATTGTTTGACTGTAAATTGCAACATTTGTCCTGAGGTTATTCGTTTGTGGCCGAAGAAGTGGATAAAATGATGGATGCTTAACGTCGTAACTACTTGCAGCTTCGACACGCAATCGGTGATTTTGGTGTGTTAATCGCTATCGTAACGGTCACATCATTCGCACACATTCTCACCCCACATCCGTATTTAGCGGTCTGTATAAATGTCGTTATATTGTGTTCTTATTGTGATTTTCGTAAGCCGTACTTTATGGCAACAAATCTCTATTGATCACATCATGAACAAACTGCAGCTTTTGTTGAATTCCTTTTGTCTTTAATAGCAGTAGCTTTACTTGTTTGCTTGAAACAAATGATCAGCTAGACCATGACGATGCTGACTGTTTCAAAAAAGACCAGCTTGAAAGAATCTGTTGAGAGTGACCTGTAATCGACTGTGAGGCATCCCATCTTCCACTTCACTAGCTCAGCCAACTGTGAACAAAGACGAAAGAGGAAGAAACGTGCGGAATCGACAAGTTTTGTTGAAGAAATAGAATAAAGATTTACTTTCAGCGACTCGATATGCCGGATCACATTAATTTTACGAATCTATACGCTCGAGGGCATGGCTTACTCATTTCTGCATACGTACCTCCAACGCAGTGGTGGGCCATATTGATGGCACTTGTCGCAGCTATGCTTGTTTTTATTCTATTATTTGTGGAAACCGAAATAACTGAGTAGGCTTTTCTGGACTGCTTGATTTCGGCTTTGAATTCATAAATGCTAGATATTCATCAACCGAGCTATTTTGTTTTAGATACAGTGCTACTTTTGCTGATCTCGGGTTATATCCATTATAACGCAATCGTTTCATTCCTAAATAAGTACAAATTTATACTTATTTATGAATGAAACATGGATTAATGATAAAGTCAGACTGAGTAACGAAGTAAAGTTGTGTTGGTATGAATATGAAGTACCAAACAGATTTATGCTAACGAAAAATTTCTATAAACTTTCTTGTTCGTTACAGATTACTTCTTTCACGTCGCGATCGTGGTCTTATGAAGGGAAATGGTATGCACTGGGATTTGATCCTGGTGGCCATTTGCACGTTAATTTGCAGTCTCTTCGGCTTGCCGTGGATGTGTGCTGCAACTGTACAGTCATTGGCTCATTGTGGCTCACTGACAGTCATGAAAAAAGCAGCACCTGGTGAACGAGCAGGTAGCTGCATAAATAAATGTTATTTTTATGAACCCAGTAAAAATGATTAGGATGATAATGAAACGGCGAATTGAGTGAAAGAAAATGTTTAAGCTCAAATTATCGTGACGAAATGAACTTCAAATTGATTTGAGTTATTTCAAGAATGTAGTGACCGAATGAAAGAACCGTAAGCGGCCAAGTGTTGAACGAATGCTAGTAATAAATTTATTGCGTTCTTCAGAAGTGGATCATGTAATCGAACAACGTTTAACAACGATTGGTGTATCCGTATTGGTCGGTCTTATAACATTAGCCGGATCATATCTTCGATTACCATTAGCTGCACTCTTTGGAGTGTTTTTGTATTTGGGTGTTATGAATCTGTCCGGTATGCAACTCATCCAACGAATCGTTCTGCTTTTCATTCCATCAAAATATTTTCCGGATACGTCCTACACACAAATGGTTTGCCTCATGTCATTTCTCCTTACTCTCATTTAACATTAATTTTCATTTTGCCAATCATTCTTTCTGTTCATAAGTTTTCGTTCCGTTTGCAAAAACTACCTCTGTTACATGTTTTGAATGAGTAGCTAGTGCGTGAGGTACTGTTAGCAAAAAATCGTTTATACGTTTTCTGACCGTTAGCTATCATGAACTGAATTATTGTATTTTCACGGGTAGAAGTCTTCTTTCTGGTCCTTAACATGGCTCAACAGCAATTATATGTCACGGCTATATTAGGTAATCATTCATCATAACCATGCATCAAGTAAATAGATAAGCATCTTCACATATGAGGATTTCTATTCGTTACAGGTGGGTGTTAGTCGAATGCATTTGTATACGGCAATACAAGTCGGTTGTCTAATTATTGTTTATACTGTAAAGTATTTCAAACAAACTGCACTAGCATTTCCATTCGTTTTGATGCTCTTCATTCTATTCCGACAATGCGTTTTAACGAAAACGTTCACTGAAGTTGAACTGAAGGCGGTGAGTGAGTGCAACGTTTTTCGTTTTGTTCTCTTCACTGAAAGAACAGTTAATTTTTTCGCTCTTCATTCCCCAGCGAAAATTTTTTCATAGATTTTATACATGCGAAACATGAAAAGTAAATGAATGAGTAGCGTCACGGTTTCGATACCACAAAACTGACTTCACCTTCGGACAACAGAGAGAATTAGTTAATAATAAAGCAGCAATCAATTATTGATTTGTTGTTTTTGTATTGATCGTTATTGTTGTTCAGCTGGATGGCGAAGAAGAGCCAGAAGATGACGAATGGATAGAAAAAGATTTTTATGATACTGCACCCATGCCAGTCTAACTAACCACAGCAATGACAACAACAACGCTGATAATTATCAAAATCAACATAAATCGTAATCAAGCTACTCACACCAGTCCCTCTCTACTTCAAACTCCTTCAGTGATTCATTTAATCAATCGATCAGTGGATCGTTCATATTCATTCCTATCCTACAAACATATTTCCTTCCAGTATTATCAGTCGTTTTCATTTGCCCTCGTCCGCTCACTGACTATGATACATTTCCTTTTGTTCACGTATTCCACCAAACACTTAGTTGCATAGATTCATTCACTCAATGCAACGATACGATGACGGATGCAGCAGTGCCATTTTGCTATTGCTGCTTCCGTAAAATTTCGCAACTAGGCACTCGACACTTTTTCGTTGCCATTACGTATTCTTCACGTGCACTGTTCTGTTACATTTGTTTACGAGCAACTGTTGTATTATACAGATATTATACATATTATTACATAAAGATTTTTGATAACGCAATTATGATTTAATTACAGTCACGTACTGTGCAGGGGTTCGATGCAGTTTAGCCTTTTCTTGTTAGAAGGTTGATCTACGAAGAACGGTCGTCTTCAACATATAAACAACATTGTTTCACTAGGTTCATTCATTACGATTCAGCAAAAAGTTGTTCACTGAAAATCGTTATTAGTACACGTTATATTAGAAGCAGTATTCCAATGCAGAAACGTCCTTGAAACGTGATTTACGCTGCAGAATAGCGCCAAAGATATGAGGATAAACTCCTAAAATTTAGGAAACCCCGTCTCCTGAAACCACCTTCTCACTTGCGTCGAAAGAAAGTTCTTCATTCGATATCGGAAGCGTTCCAGTCGAGGAATTCCTTCTGACTATAACAGTGCACGTCAGTTGTGAAACTCACGTTGGAATTTTGATGGTTTGTGAGATTGTTTATGTGACTGATTGAGGATAGAGCGATTCTGTGCATGGTTTGGCCAGAAATCATCTCGGTCACATTACTGTTCAACTGATGATTTTGACTGACGACAGACGTCAGTCTTGGAGAACACCTCAGCGTTCGCTTCTTTTCGGCACCATTTCTACGACGGTCCCCTTTACGGAAGGAAACACACAGAGAATGTCCGTCCCTTCTTGTTCTCGTTATCATCTCAGACAACTCAACTGGCTAGTCATCTGTTTTATCGCATAGCCAATAACTGACGAACCAGCCCGCCTTCCTCGATACCACATACCACCCACAATTCATCAACCAAAATCAATCGCACTCATCCTCTGCACCTCTCTGGGTGGTCCATTCGATTCCATCAATTCACCATACATGAAAATATATTTGACGGGTAATTTGCAAGAGAAGCACCACCACTGAAAACTGAAGGTTTGGTATGGTTCGCCCAACAGAACCATCCGTTGAGATTCTATTCTATTTGAACCGAAGTTCGTTGAAACTTACCGAGAGAAGTATCGACTAAAGTTTTTTTTTAAATCTCCTGTCCAGCTTGGGCTTCAGATTAGTCGTGGTGACTTCACGCCGAAACAATGGCGACCTTGTTTGCCTATGTTTCTGATCAGCTGGAAGCGAATCGACTAGATCTGGAACTCAATCAAGTCGGATATTGATGCTAACGAAGACCAACCCATTATTAGAGACTGGTGCATCGGCAGAATCTCAGACCGTTCGAGGTGAGGATCAAAAGGGAGGACATTGCTACCAAAAAAAGCGCTTTTTTCTGAACTTGCAGTTTCGAAGCACTCTGGATGATTACATCAGCCGAAGACAATTTCCTTCTTCAAAACGTTTCTCCGTTCAGTTTTTGCTGGTCGTTTTGCAGGTGAAGCGTGAGGTATACATGATGAGTTTCATTTATCATTTAGTTCATGAATAAGCGCTTTAATGAATCTGTTTAAAAGCAGTTTTGCATGGCTTAACTTATGCGGATGGATATGATAACGACGATCATTAATCAATGAATCGATCAATCAATCAATTAATCACATTGATAAGTTGGAAAAAAACGAAAACTGCAAAAAAATTACATCGTTTGAGAAAGAAGAATAAGAAAATTTGAAAAAAAGAGAAGAATGAAAATAGAGACAATTTGAAAACTTTTTTCACTGTGCTTCTATGTTTTCATTTCATTCCTTTCTTCCTCAGCATCTATTAAAATTGAACATACTTTTATACAACAGACGACAGTATATTTGGAATTTCAAATATTTTTGAGCAATCAACGTAACAGAAACGCAATAATAAAAATAATAATAACCATGAAATTAATATATAACCAATATAGAATTGATTTCGAACACCAACAGTAATAAGAATAGTATTAATAATAAAAATAGTGATAATAATAATAATAATAACGGTAATCACGATAAGAGAACTATGGAAAGAATAATACATATGTGCAGCATTGATCAAAAATCCACTGCTCATAATAAACAAACGAAGCAAAATTGAAAATTGAACAGAACAAAATCAAACAAATTCTAAAACAGATATCCAACGAATTAGCATAACGGCATCACGCTAATATGTATAATACATAGCAGTTATAATAATGAAATAAACATATTTATAGCAATAAAAATGATTACTAATACGAAAATTAGTGGATAAAGAGCACAAAAGCGATTAAATAAGTTCTTCAATACCGGTAATCACACGAATATTCTTTCAACAATACAAGAAAGGACGGTTTTAAGAAAATAACGAAAATTCGGTTTCTAACGATGAAATAAATGCATCATTAATCGTTTCTGATGTTAATACACTTTGTTCCACTTCACAGATGAATGAATAGGTGAGCAGCAACAACTTTACCAACTTCCTTCCATAGAACTAATTCTTTCCTTTTGAAGACCGTGAGCTTATTTTTTACATACTTCATAAAGCAGCCGAAAACTTCTACTTTGAAAAATCAATTCACTAATCATCCATAACAACAATGATAATAATGGCAATAATAACAACAATAATGAAAATTATAATGAAAACAATAATAATAATAATAATAATAATGAACTTAATAAAAACGAACATAATAATGAAAATGATAAGTGAAAAATCCATGCATACCACGGAGGCGAATAATTTGCCCTATATGTAGAGTACTAGAAATATTACACATAAGAAATGCTATTACCTTTTCGATGGAAGATAGAGCAAATGGTTAAAGAACAAAGTAATGTAATACAGAGATGGATGAAGCAGATGGACGAAAGAGATAAAAAGCGCGATAATGGAAAATTTAGGGGGAGATCGGGAAGGCGGATGGATGCTTCGGTGAACTGAGTTTAATTAGAACACATTCGATACTGAATGCTGCACTGAGTAAGAGAATATGAACTTTGTGCTAAAATCACAAAAAATCTAAACGTGTTATTGACTTAAGTTATTACAAAAAACAATGCTAAGAAATTTGAGAATTATTTCTTGGGGATCGATTTCACATTTTTAAACTTTTTCTTATTTCATTTACTAAATTTTCAAATCAGCTCAAGCTCGCTCATTCATTCTAGTTCGAATGATCAGCATCTTAGCAGGTCGGGTTTGCCTGCTTTTTATTGAACATTGAAACTGCCACAAAATAATTCGATTCGAAGGAGCTTAATCGACAGATACATTACTATAGAGATCACATACACGCACATAAAATGCCTTAATTTCAACAAACCGATTGCGATTGAGATGACGATAACAACTATGGGAAACGAAAAAGATGGTCCCCAGCACTAAATTATGCCTTCAAGATAATCGCCGTGTTAACAATAATAATAATTCGTTCATATATGATATGTAGATAAATCAAAATCAATCAATTAATGAATCCATCTAGCCGATAAATAAATATATGCTGTCTCTCGAACATGTACAATCAATATCACAACACTACACTGTTGGACTGAGCGGTTGCGGTGAAGAAGCAGTAATTTGAGTGATAACTTGAACAGCAACATGTGGTGCAGTTGCTGTGGCTTGAAGTGTTGCTGTTTGTTGATGTTGATGCTGCTGTTGTTGTGTTGGCGATGCAGTTGAACCGATCGGATTCATCGTAGCAATATCAATGATTGTTTCTGATGCGCTTTTACGACAAATTGGGCATGTTCTATTAGTTTTTAACCATTTGTCGATACATTTAACATGATAGTGATGATCGCACGGTAGCACTCGAACATGATCGCGTTTTTCAAAATCACACTGACATACGACGCAAACCTTTTCGTTCAAACAGCTTGGATCCATTAATCGAAACGATTTCAGCTGTTCAATTTCACTCCTGGAAGACATTTCTAAGTTGTTTTTTTTTTGTCATAAAGCAACTTCATACCACTTCCGTTATTATAATTGACAAGTTCTAAACGTTTATTTTGATTTCTTTTTGCAGTAGTCATAAACTTTTCCCTTTTCAACGACTTTTCGGAACAGTTATAAACATGGACTTTTTGGAAACGTGAGTGAGTGTGGTCGGACAAATGACAGTGCATAAACAACTTACTTGGGCATTCCTTTCGGTGGTAAACGCATCAAGTTCATTTGAGGTGCCATGCGATCGAATATTTGCAAGACTGCTGCTTCCCAAGCGGGGAATGGTATTTCACCAGCATTCCCAAAACGTGTCAATTCCGGATGCACATATGTTGCTGGTATTGAAGTGTTCTCAACACCCCCTACATTTGTGTGCACCCATTCACTTGCTAACGTTGGAATCGCCACCGGTGTACCATCCACCTGGATATTAACACAATCGTTATTGCACAATCATAACATATTTTGCTGCCCAAATATAATAAGTGTTTGTGAAGTCAACAAGAATGAATAATGCTGTTGCTTCATTTTACGAATGCAATCCATAATCCCTTCCTCACCATCGATTTCAATAAATTAATCGTGCATCGATTGTGTTCTATCATAGCCCAATTGAGGACATTATTATAGAACAGTACATATAACATACTGAATGTGCAAGAAGGAAAACAATCACGCAACAATATCATTTTCACTCCTCTTTAGCTCACTGACTAATAATATCAGTACTAGCATACGATATGATTACATCGCAGTATAATTAATCAGTTAATGTGCTTTCTTATCACTTCAGTTGTTTGGATTACTTACAGTCACATAGTCATCGATTTTCGAAGACACGTCAAAATTTGCTCTTCTGCAGTCACAGGAAATACGCGGCGGAATGTAAGCAGAAGTGGAAAGTAAGACGCAGAGGAATTCAGACTGACGAAAACACAAACTCGTGCCAAATCTGCTCCCCTCTTTATTAATCCTAGCCTTCTGTGCTGCAGTAGAAAATAACCAGCTGATTGCTTATGGTTGAACGAAGCTAAATGCTCCACTGTTTGATTCAGATGCGCACCTTCACTCCTATACGATGCAGCAGCATCGATCCCTTTGAAAAACTCGTTCTAATAGCACTACCCCACCAATCTATCTACGAAAAACGCTCCTTCATTCCATTCGTTACTATAACTAACAAATCAAAAACCAGAATAAATAACAAATCAAATCAGCACATCATCAATACAAATTTTGTAGGTGAATAACGATTGCTATCGTTATGCTTTCCGTGCAAATCATGAAAATAACTGATGAAGAATGAACGAATCAAGATTGAATAAATGAATATGAGTATGTTTGTATGTACACTAAGATAAACAATCAAACTGATGAAGAATGACACCAATGCACATCGACGAATCATATTCATTGGTCGTTGAATGAAACCACTTTTCTTTTCGTTCATCAAGCAATCAACACGTTCACCTACTCAGTTTAATACTAAATGATGAGAGCTTTGAAACGGGTGGAAAGATTTTCAGTCGTTTAATGAGTTATGTAACAAGAAAGGTATGAGCTGACTCGTCCGAAACTAACAGCACGATATTTAAGAGCAGCAGTTTTTGGAGGAAAATACGGCTGCAATAAAGAAGTAGTGCGTTAATAAATACATGATCGAGAAATACACGACAACGGAACATAAACAAAATGAATCGAACGAATAAATGAATAATCAGAGAGATGAGTGAGCGAATAATGAAATGGCGAAACGTCGTAAAACTTACCGCTTGGGATGAAGAAATCCTTTGATGGAGTGGATGATGGTGATGCTGATGGTGATGATGATGGCTGATAGCACCATTGGATGAGGACATGCTAATTGTTGTGCTGTTAGCTGAATGTGCCGTAGCCACATCAGCGGTTGATTGCTGATCAGATGTGCCAACTGCAGCACCAACAGAAGGTGTAAGATGATAGAACTGTTCGACAGTGGCTGAAGGAGAAGATGATACGACGACGGTTCCATGCGAAGGATTTGACACTCCGATGGAATTCGGAGGTGCAAGGGAAGGATTCAAGGTAGCGCTGGATGCACGGAGCAGTTGATGTGCTGCGGCTGCAGCTGCAGCAGCAGCTGCAGCCGCAGCAGAAGCGGCCGCAACGGAACTCGTAGTGCTATTGCTGTTGACTGCTGCAGCCGCTGCAGCCACTGCTGTTTCAGCGGTAAACTGTGACGATGACTGGTGTTGAGCCTGAGCGGCAACCTGAGCAGCGACCTGAGCTGCAGCCTGTCGTACTCGTGATATGAGCACTTCGATACGTGACGAATTCGGCTCACGTAATGACGACGATATTAATGAGGACGATGAGTTTGTGCTATAAGACGGTAGCGCTGATGCTGCTGCTAAACGATTGCTTGCTTGCTGATGTTGTTGAGCATGGGCATGAGCATTGCTAGCTGTATTATAACCACTAACGCTAGTACTACCGTTATTGCTAGCAATACTACTGGAACCGCCATTATGTAATACTCCTGCGGTTGCTGCCGCCATTGCTGCTGATGATGGCGCAATTTCCCACTGGCCATTCAGGCCCATCAGTTGCCATTGCCTAAAAATTGTTGTTATAACTGATGCTAGTTTTATTTTAGTCATTTAATGACAAGCATGGATAATAATAAAACGATACAGTTACCTACCTCATATAAATTTCATCAGGGAATTCAAGCAACGAAGAGTGCACCACCGAATTTGTTGCTGTACCCGCATTATTCCGTTGAGATTGTTGCTGATGATGCCGTTGCTGTTGTATGTCTGAAGGTGAAGGTGCGTATGGCAACGGCGTTGTCGGTAACCTTAGACCAAGTAATGGCTGTTGCTGAGGGATATGTGATGATTGAGTATTATGACTATTATTACTACTATTATTGCTATTATTACTACTATTTATGTTAGCATTATTATTAGTAGTAGTAATATTGGATGTTGTTGTATGTTGTGAAGATGGTAATATTGTATGTGATGATAATCGAATCGCTTCATTATTTGTTGCTGTGTTCATTGTATAATATGGACCGGTACGATTTTGCTGAAAACAAAATATTGTTTCGAAATTTACATATATGGAATAGTGTCATTTTAAATGCAGACGGGCAACAGAAATCCGCAAATTTACGTTCGAAACATGGAAGTACTGGAGTAATGGTGCGAACACTAGACAATGTTTTCGAACTGAAAGATTTGCTGGAAGGAAGAGCCTTCCGCATTTTTTTCTCTTCAGAAATGTTGGAAAAACTTGAAAAACAAATATGACAAAAATAATACCCCGAGACAAATGAAAAAAGTCGAAAGAGGAAAAAAACTTACGGAAAGCTGAACATATGATGCATAATTAGGAAGCATAATCGGAGGAGTGTGTACATGAAATGTTATAGGAGCCTGAAACTATACTAAAGGAGTATTTCCTAGTTTAGCTTAATTGAAAAATGAAGTGAATAACGAATGAATTATTATGAGTGTCATTCAAAAAAACTAAGTATCATTCAAAAATTATTATGAGTACCGCAATCAATATTACGAACCATGTTATTTACAGTGGATGTACTCGGTACCGCAGCCATCTGAGCATGAACTTGAGGAGCGAACACTTGAGGTCTGTAGAGTGCTGGTAGCGAATTGGCTGATGAAGACGCTGGCCCAACAGATGCATGTTCGAATGGTTGATTTGCTGCTGCTTGTAGTAGGCACGCTGGTACAGGCGGTTGTACAATTCCTTTAGTAATGATTTAAAGAATTAATTTGTTCACACACATCTCGATCACTCGTCAATGATCATTTATATTCAAAAAGTATGCTGATAATTGAGAATATGAATTGAGTTAAAACGTATCACGGATAAATAAGCACCATTAACACAGCAAGTTGAAGGGAATGAAGGCCGCATAAATGCTGAGGAATCGGAATTGGCTGCTCCACGACGCCGACGACTAGCCGAAGGCACATCTGCCGCCGGCTCATCCGCAGGCCGTTTCCGCGAAGTTTCACTCGTTGCTACAGGCACCGTCGGAGAATCTGAAGATACATTTGATGGCGTATACGCATGACGCATGTTGGTGACGTTTATAATCAATTTGAAACTGGTCTGTGCGTATGAAAATTTGTACAGTGATACACCAATAACATGAATGCATGTGATGCGATAGACGTAAATTGTAATGTATAATGTGTAAGGATTAGAAATGAATGACTCATTTGGCCAATTTAACCAATTGAAAATGTCACTCCAAATCATCACAGTGAAGTTGAGAGGACAAGTTGGTGATGAAATGACCGAATGAAGAATAGCAATATTGTGCTTGATAGTTATCACCGATACTTGAAGGTTTATCACTTACATGATTCTCACAGAAATTCATTCAACCAAACAAGAAAAACTGTGGAAAATTTGTGAAGCCAATGTGTTAACGTATAAGTATAGGAATTTTTAGGAGATTTAAATAGGAAACATCTTCCGGCTACTTTCTTGTTTCTAAGAAAGAGAATAATTCAACAAGAACATTTGTCAGAAGAATGAATTCAGAAAGAAAATGAATACAGCCAATGAATTAATTAATTAGTAGAGCTTCTTGTGCTTGATTGTTTGTATGATGATGATAACGATGAACGATCACAAAATGGAGTACTGAAGAGAGCAAAAACGAAAATTTCCATAAAACCGTTAATGGCGAGAGTACATGTGAATGCTTGAATGAATGTGATGTATGTTGTGGAACAATAGTCTGAAACTCGATCTTAAATTCTAAGTCCTCAATCGTTTGATCATAAATGAGAACATTTCACAAAAGAACTGAGTTTCTGTAGTCGCTTAAGCTTTAATGTACATAAAAGGATGTTATAAAATCACCACTATGATTACCTAAAGCAATTATGAGTGAATAAATATTATACCCGATACGCACGACAATAAAAGTCAACCTGACCAGCGAGAAATGCAACAAGATAATATCACCAACAACATTATTATCATTCTTTCTCATTGTGAGTATCGATGATAATGCTTATCAGACAACTCCTAAACACAGTTAAAACATTCCATCAATCTGCTATCCGCGCTAATAACTGAGGTAAGTTGGCTTTCTTGACAATCTTACAATCTAGGTGCAATTCGTGGAATAATGCAAACGAAAAAAGAATGGGCATTTCAAATGAATTATGTTTTTGAATGATATGGTAAAATAAATTTGGAATAAAACAACGAACAAGAAGAATTAATGAATCAATCATAGTGCTAAATTTAACAATAACTAGGCGATTCAAGCAATGCAACGAACAATCGTTGCATTACTCGAATGCAGCATTAACTCAATATCAGTTAAGCAAGCACACAATTCCAAATAGTTGCATAACGATCATAATTACAAAATTGACAAGAGGTCGAATATGACGTCTCAATTGAATAAGTTCATAAAATTTCACTGGCACTACTGAGTAATTTCATTGATTGGCATAGTAGTAAATACTTTGCTTTTATTACTTGCTATTGCAATGAATTGATTGCAAAGTACAATTTTGAATTGGATATAAAGCAGAGCTAATCGAGCAATTATGGAGTTATTAACAGAGGGGAGTGAATATTTTTCTATATTCATCCTGAAGAACAATACGGGAACGCTGCGTGCCATTAACGCCAGAGCGTCACTACTACGCGACCAAATGCAATGAATATTTCTCCACTCATATGTTTAGCAATAAACGCATTCACGCAAGTTGAACAATAATTTTTTCCTCTGCAAATATTCTTCAATAAAGGAGTCGTAATACGTTCCCGTATGTTCCTCGTTGAATCACCAGAAACGAAATCATGATGGTGGTATATAAAACATATGTATATAATTATCACAAACAAACTCATCAAAGCAGCATAATCAAAATTTCAAATGCAAACTCGTACAGATAATTATTGAAAAATCAACTGACCGGGAATGGGATCGAACACTAAGCCTAGATGAATTGATTCGGCGTCAGTGTCAGACATTGTTTGTTTTTCATTCACCACAACAAAAACAATGAATCACTCAACAGAAAATAATGACAACTATCAGTGATAATGTTGATGATGACGATGTGGATGACGATTTGGAATTACGCCGATATAACAGTAGTATTAATGATAATATAAATCTTTTGATGTGCACTAACGGATCGAACGACCAACCGTATGGATTCCGTATTGCACGACTAGATGAGCAGAAGCGCGATTGAAACGCGCGCTTCAATAGACTGAAATTTTAAAAAATTTTTTGGATGAACATAATCAATACTTAGCGATGGCACGAAAAAAAACACGAGATGCTACAATATGATGCGACGTTTGCATTGCTAATAAACTCACTTCAAATGAAGCACTGTTGAAATCATCGTCGCTTTGTTAAAATGAGTGTGATTCAATGTTATGAATAAATTTTCGATAAAAATTACGATCCGCACATTGTAATATTTACACTGATATGATATAAGTATTATAACAACGAAAATGAAGATAATATACAATAATCAAAGTAAATTAATACGAACAATCAAACCTTCAGAGTCAAACCTGAATTTTGACAAAAATGAAATGATAGACAATTCAGTCACTCGTTGGCTTTCGAAAATTCAGTTTCAGGAATAGTGAAATTATTGTAGATATATTTCTGAAGATTCACACGTATGTGTCAATGAACACAGATATATGCACACACAGATGAATAATTCAAACGAGTGGCTAAGAACTTCTAGTGTTAGCTGTACGCTCACGCATATGTATAGGTCATGTATGTCTTTCAGCTTTCGCAGTTGAAATGACGATTGCTAAAATAAAATTTTGTCGACTAAACGAAGAATATGCATAAACTAGGTAGGTATATATTATCATAATGAATTGCCGAAATATTTCCTACTCTTTAAACAACAACCTTCGTATTTAACATAACAATGCGAATCTGAATCAAACGCAAAATCATAATCGTGCCATTGATATGGAAATGCGGAGCGGAAATTTCCTTTCAAATTCAACATATTTTTGAATTGGACTCGATTATCATTCAGTTAGATATCATTTCGTTACTGCATCGTTCATGAAATTCGCTCATTTGGTTCTGGAACAAATTTTGACACCTTACAATTTCGAGAATTCACAATAAAACAACGTATTCACTTATTAGTTCTCACCCTTCAACATTGTTTCGAAAATAGAAATAAAACCAACGCAGGTTTTCCGTTTTTCATTACAGATCGTTCTGTAATGAAAAAACCATTTCCCACCTATCCATCTAAGTGCCCGCCTAAATCTATCACGATCTGCCTCATCATCAAACAAATTCATTTTCGAACCATTTTCTATGAACTGTAAAATAACTTCAATCTCGTACAACTTTGCCAACCGGCTAATCTATCAATCATTCAGCTAATTTTCTACCATCGTCCATATTTGAGCGAAAAATGAGAAAGATAAAAAAAGACAGTTGGAGCGAGTTGTTCGCTGACAAGTAATGAGGAGATGACAACCGAAAGAACTTGAAACAATCAGTAAATGAACATTAAAAAAAGAAATTGTAGTATGAGCGAGTTAAGCTTTCTTGATCATGTTTTATTATAGTTTGCTATCTTGTTCGCGAAATAATGACACTGATGATGATTACAATAGGAATGATCAGAATTAAGAGACAATGATTAGACGATTGCATGCACACTCTCAGGAATGATCGAATCAACCAGTCGGTCTTATCATACAGAACATTTGAAATGAACACATTAAAACTAACGATAAGAGCAACAGTAGCCAGAGAACATTATTCAGTATTTACCTCAAACAGTACCATAAATATTCAACAACAAATATACGAATATATATTGAAAACGATTGATTAATATTAGTAGTGGTAGCGGTAGTATTATAAATGAAATATTAATGAAAATGTGATATTAAAATATTAAACGACATACACCGCGTAAGTACGACGTTATACATGCACATAAATTGAAACAGTCATCATGATGCAAAAATAACGTTGTGATAACGCAGTTTTTACAAGCATAATTACATCATACTACATCGATCGTATCCTATCATCAGAACGTACGAAGATCTACGCATTCGTATCGTATTTTGCGACTTAAAAAACGAAACGATATTCAAAGAGTTTGTCATACCGCAGCTGACTGATTACACTCATTCGAACCTAAACAAGAAAGAACGGCGAACGATTCCAGTGATTCAACTGTCGACAAACACACGAGTGAATTATGATTATCATCTACAGGAAAATGAATAAACCAAATGAATAATCAATTGATCGAAAACATAGGGGGAATAAAATTCACTAGCAATCACATAATTTAAAACATCGGCAACTTGTTTGGAGTTGGAGCAGTCGTTAGCAACACACGAACCGGCGAAATTAATTGAGTAACGAATTCAAATCGAATTTGAAAAAATGGACTGTGAAGAAAACAAAAATTTTTTAAAACGAAGTAATAGGCCGAAGCGGTGATTCTGTGCAGTTTTCGAAGAGATATTGGACTGATATTGGATAGATTTGAAGCGAAGATGAAAGGGAACATAAACAAAAGGACGAAAGGGATAAAAAAAGGAATCCGTGGAAGGATATGAGTGGATTAATGATTCCATCCATCCATACAGTCATTCATCTGTAAAGCATTGCCAGGATTTGCGGATGGATAAAAGATACTACACACTGACACAATTATATGTAACAGATTAGTCATTACTGTTTAGTGGTAGTTACTGTAACAGGAACTGTAGCATTCAGCACATGCATGCAAGTTATACGATCTTGGCTGACTGAATGAATGCATGCACAGTTCGGATTGGATGCACAAAAACAGACAAGTTTATAAAGTAATACCAAAGTAATAGTCACATTCGGAAAAAAAAATTCACATGAAACCGTTAACAAAATTTGTAGAAAATGATTAAATAATGAACGGTAAATTAGTGAAGAAAATATGAGGGATGAACGAAGGAGAAGTGAAAGCGAATGGAGAACGTTTTAAAGGAAAAACTGTAAGATGGTTTGATATAATCGATTTTAATTGGTAGAAAATATG